TTGCTCAGTTCGTGAGGACTCATGGGCATCGGATTGATCACATGATCAAGAAATGTAGATGGAAATCACAGCCATGTGGACCAGAGAATTTCACTGCCGTGATAACTGAATTTGGTCTTTGTTACACGTTTAACTCAGGTGGGAAAGCTGAAATTTAGTAACTAGAATGTTTTGCAAAATGTATTTATTAAGATTTGCCTAACTTGGCTTCTAAAGAAATTTTAGGTATTGAGACAGGATTCGATGAATTGTACTTGACTGAGCTTAGTAAATAAAAAATCCCTTGCGAAGAGTTCTGATTGGTTCCTGGTGACACCTCTCCTCTACGCTATTTGACCGATGTGATTCTACACTTACTAAATCTTAAACTGGTTTGTACACTTACATCATCTTAAACTGGTTTGACAGGTTTGAAAGGTCACCCTCTTCTAAAGGTGCAGCGTGCTGGAGTAGACTATGCCCTCAGACTGTCTCTGAGCGTTCAGCAAGATCAATATTATGGGTCACTCAGAGATTCGTCTGGGTTCAAGGTCATGGTGCATGATCAAGAGGAACCACCGCTGATCAATGAGCTTGGTTTTGCAATTCAGCCAGGAACTCATACATTCTGTGGTCTCAGGAAGGAAGTGGTATGCAAAACATGCTGACAAGTAATTTACTTCGAAGGGGAGGGGGGTGCTTGCTACTAATAGACTGATATGCCATTGGGTGGGGTTGCATTTTCACCACCCCTTTGACTATAATGGAAAATTCGCGTGCAAAAATTTTTTTACCACGAGTGACTAAGATGGGATCTCTAATTGACCACATAAAAGTTTATAATGGGAAGGGATTCTGGGAGGCCAGTGGCACATATCTATCTATTATTTAGAATGTTTTGTCATTTAGACTACATGTATTTCTCAGTAATCAGTTTCATGGTAAAAGCTCCATCCAGGAGGTAATCTTCGGTTGCAAGATAAAAGAGGTACTTCTTACAATGGAAAGATACAGAGATTAGTAGAACATTTCAGAATTTGGATGTTTTCCCTGGATATAAATTTACGCTGCTCATTGGTCAGAGCTACTCACTTGCGAAATGGGGGTATTGTTTCTGTTTGCCTTTGAAAGTATTGTTCAGCGACGTCATCACGGTCACAGGGGCAGTTGGTGATGTCCAACGGTGTTTGACAAAGAAACCAATGCAGCGAAATTCTGCACACGGGTGCGCAAGGCTGTGCAAAGTATATGGCGGCGGAGTGACCATTACAGCAGTTGAAAACTTGAAATTAAGAACTCTTCACCACGTATAGTGTTAAATAGCTTGTCTAGCCTGAAGTGAGTAGGGGGAAAAGTGTTGGAAACTGGATCTTAAACCTGCGAATACTATTGTCTAAAAAAGCTAACATGAAAGTTTTGGAAAAGCAGGCTTGCCATGTTATGCTTAGAGACCAGTTATCATTTATCGATTTTCGGGGAGATCACATGGTTCTCTGGTTGAACAGAAGTGGGATCATTTGTCGCCAAATTTTCGTGCAAACGAGGCTCGTTGGTGAAGTGTATCACGTGACCGTGCATAAGAGCTTTTAAACTTGACGTTGTCATGTGCACAAACTTTTGACAGCTGTGTTTTTTTAAGTACACTATCATAACAGCTCGATCCTTATAGCTAACTCCTAATGGTGTTTTGGAAGCCAATATTCTGCTGAATGGTCTCGACTGTGGAAAATGACTTAAAAAGTGGTATGTGTATGGACACGCGTTACATACATATCATATTTTCGTTTCAGATGCACAATCTTCCGCGCCCATTTAAAACAGCATGTGAAGACAAACATTTAGCCGGCTTTAAAAAGTACACAAAGTCGGCTTGTCTACTGAAGTGCCGTGCTGACTACATCATCGGTATGTGTAAATGCAGATCTTACGATTTGGAAGGTAAGGTAACTTTTATTCTAGTATTTCATGCTTTGGGAAGGAATCCTAGTTATTTCTTAGCTTCAGTAACAAAATATTACACACTACAAGGGAGACACGAGTTCGAATCCGTTCGAGTCTTGAAATTTGTTCAAGCTTCTTTCCTGCAATTGCTTATATTTCAGCTTACCTGCGAGAATTATTACTTTACTTCTTTTTCATCTGCAGGTCGAATGAAATATATATAACTAGAAATCCTAGAGATTGTCCACTTCTTAGCCTGACATTTCAATAATAACTGAATTTGTTCTGAAAGCAATCATCATTAATTTTCTTAAGTCCAAATATTGCATTCAGGAAATATGAGGCGCAAAATGTAGAATAATCAACTGAAGATTTTGGACTAAAAACATTTGTGAAAAAGGGTCTTAAGTGGGTGCTTGAAAAATTTCCTATTTCTCTATAACGGTGTTCGCTGCTTTCATCACTTCAAAATAATGGAAATGTGGTGAAATAGCTCTGTTTACCGACCAGCTTTTGCTTTATTGATTTTTCTTACAGGCGAAGCTCCACCATGTTTACCGCAACAGGTGAAGAACTGCGTTTGGCCCGCAATGGGTATGTTTTTCAAAATAAGTCGATCTGGATTGAAGAAAACAACACTGAAAAAAAGACATCTTTAACGCATGCTCAGTCTTGGTCGACGCAATGATTACAGTCACAAATAATGACCTAATCATATTCCTAGAAGTGTTATGATCTGTAGTCTAATGGATTCATATCCGAGGCTTTGGAAAACTACTCGAAAATATAGAGGTCATCGTAAAATATCTTGAGCTGTATAGCACAGGAATCATGAAGTTGATTTACCAAGAAACAAGAAATAAATGTGTCTCTATACGATACTAGCGTAATAATAAGAAATTTGTCGATCGATTTCTAGAAATATTCCGAAATGAAAGCAACAACTGCGAGTGCCCAGTCCCCTGTGAGATCACAAAATATCAAGTGCAACTGAGCTATGCCCAGACCCCAGCGAAACATTTCTCCGAAGTTCTGGCGAAGAGAAAACACGTAAGGAAGGACGTCATGAGGCATTACTTGAGGTGAGTTCAAGCTTTGGCGGTGAGGGACCTGAGCATGTTTCGAGTGAGTTTTCATTGCCTGGGGTCTCCACTGAAGTTTGGATCCCGTTTAAGAAATAAGTTGTTCACAAGGGTAAAGATAACCCGCTCGAGAGCTCTGGATACAATGTTCTAGATAAGGGGTCCCAAAGATATATTCTTGCTAAGTGGCATAACCCTGTGTGATTATTTTCCTTCGGGGAGAACAGCAAACGAGATACCAAGAAATACCTTTGTTCGACGAGTTTCTTATGGATATGTAAGCACTGTTATCAGTACCTCGACAGCTTCTCGTTCAACCATCAAAATTCCTACTTTAAGTTTGAGCGAGCAGATTTTTTGCTCCCAAACAGGAAGAAAACAAAATTGAAAATTGTGCGTTATGAAAAATTAGACATTGGTAGCCGGTTGCCTAATTTCTTTTAACTTACTGTATTACTGAATACGCTTAGAGAGTTTATCTGAATTACCCTAGACTTTGACAGTCACTGTTATGATTTAAAGAGGCTTATAAAAGTTGGATATTTTAACAGGGACAACTTCCTCGAGTTGGATGTGTACTTTGAAGAGATGCAGGTGACGCTAATAACTCAGAGGCCAGCGTACGATCAGGAGAGCTTGTTTGGTGAGTTTGCTGACAGCTAAAACGAACGCACATCCTTATAAGAACTCGCGAGGGGTACAGTGTCAACAAAAACAAGAACACTGTTCATTTAAACAAAATGAGTTGAGATGAGGGTTCAAATATGCACAGATTTTGGAAGATTTCCTTGTTATTCTTTGCGTAATCCAGACACAAAGTGACCACATTCGGCGTTCACTGAAGAACCTAGACTACTCTACGTACATTCGAAATGTCTCTTCGTCTGACAGTAGCTTTATAATGACCAGCCCTTCAAACATCATCGTTGGTGCAACACTTTTTTGTCTTAAAAGCCTGAAATATCCAAGCTCTTCGAATACAATTAACCTAAAGAGCTTTCCATTTTTTGTGTCTTCAGGTGACATCGGTGGTCAAGTTGGGCTGTTTCTTGGCGCTAGCATTCTAACAGTGTTGGAATTTGGAGATCTACTGGCGAGGATTATAGTCAACAAGATCAAAAGAAATCAACGACGTCATGCTCGGACAGTTTGACGAAGTCAAAAGTGGTTTGATTTTGCTTGAAAGAGAGGAAATTTCATCCGATAAGCATTTTCGATTCACTTAAATGGCCGAGCAGTTTTGGATTCCTAGTCTCGTTACAATTTTCTCAAGCCTCGGAAAATAACCAATATTTGATAACCAGCAGTAGATTGACTGAGTACTTGAAATGCTGCGAACAAGCGGTTCCCCATAAAGAGTTGTATTTTCATTTTCGATTATCCACAGGGAAAGCAAGTCCTCGGTTAAACTGTAATGGTAGCTTAGCTTTCAAACAAAACACCTCTTTCGTGTTCAGTGATGTAAAGGAGGTTTCATATCCCATAAAGTTATAGAGGAGAGATAACTGTTTGTTCATACGTAAAATAATTGTTTACAAGAGTTTCAAGGCTTTGGAACTAAGGATGGAGTATCCCCGCACGAATTTTGTCAGGTACCTCATCCCCGGATGCTTAATCAAGAAAAAGTTGATGAAAAGATTTAGCTTTTGTTATTTTTACATCTTGCTGCTCAAAGTTGTTACTAATGCGCGTTCAGAAGAGACTCGCTTGCCAAAATACTCGGTTTCTTGAAGAAACCCTCAGACATTTTTTTACTACTTCACCCCATGTGAGCGTTAGAATAATTTGAATGAAGTCAGGAACAAGTTTTACCACTTACAGGAAAGTTTCATTTGTGCATGAGCCACCATTAGAAATATCTCTTTGAATTTTGGCATTTCTTTTCAGTGTCCAGGAGTCTTAGATAAAATAGTTTTGTAGAGAAAAATTAACGCTTTGTTACATTACATACCTGCACGACCTACTGTGCATAATAAATGAACAGCGAAAAGACAAATCGTAGAAGAATTCATTTTATTCTAAAATGTCAAATTTATTGGAACCCCCACAAAGAACTACTGGTCCATTCATTACTTACACTTCTTTACAATGACTACCGTGATTTCCGTCCTGACGTTAAGTCACTCCCGTAAACCAGAGTGTAATTTGCCAAATGAAGCAACTTTGTGGGCGGAAGTATCAACCATGGACAATAATAACAGATCAATCCTGAAAATTACACAACCTTCTCCGTTAAGATCAATTCTCCTCTTAACTAATAATACCATAGTAATTGATTTTTCCCCACAACCATTGAACCGATCCGTCATGTCGTTCATGACTCATGTTTTTAAGAGATTTTTCCATCACTGATTTCTTACATATTTCTAAATATCGAAGTATTGAGATCAATATTAAGCTGGTCGCTTTTTATATTGAAATTGCTCAAGCGAATAGTATAATATTCAATTTCACTAATTTATCTTACATTTGGAATACCTATTTTGTTTAAATATACTCTGCACACAAAAATAATTCTTGATATATAAAATCTTTGGAAAGAAAATTGTATTGCTTATTTCATCTCCTAGAGGAACTGCGATACACCTGACTTGACATTTTGCAAGACATGTCACAGTACAATGGAAAAAAAATCCGTCTGTTCCCAAATTCATTAGAAATCTTCAATTGTTTTATGAAACCATGTTATCTGCTGTTTACTGTAAACTTATATTAGAATATCTATCTTTAGAATGTAATATTATTGTTATCATTTTCATCCTAATCATCATCATCATCGCCGTGTCGTCGTCTTCGTATCGTAATGTCGTCGCCGTCGTCTCATCATAACGGTCGTCATCGATAATTATCATTATTATCATAATTCTTGTTGTAAATATCATCATTACTGTGATCATGCGCGCCCTATTTACAGTCTGCATGTGTCTAGTTTTCCTCAAAAAAAAGATAAAAAAAATGCAACAAAGCTCCGTCGATAACCAAAACCCATGCTGCCAATGACCCTTCATTAAAAAGAAATATATTATTCTACAGATTCTATGCCCTCCCCTTAAACTTATCCTTGAACCCAAAAAAATGAATAATAGTTAACTTAATTTGATGCTAAAGCAGATGATACTTGCCAATGAAAATGAGATATACCGAGTAATCTTGACAGCTTCAGTCTGTCAACGAGCGAAAATTAGACGATTCCTACATCAGCTAACTACCCAATCAATAAATACCCTTCTGGGTGTACAACGGATAAAAGCCGAAATCAAGCTGCCTACATATGCACAACCGACGTCGACTTGCTATCTCGACTCAGCCTCCTCGCTTGATCTCTTGGCTTCGTTTATGACGTTCGCTGCATTCTGTGCAATCTTAACGGTGCCACATCTTACCAGGGGGTTGTCGGCAGGATTAGGAGAGGGGAGAGACAGGCGTTTCCCACCCGATATTCGCATCAACAATTCCAGATAATGTTCTTCGTCTGAAAGAAAAACCATCGCAACTGTGAGTGAACTTCACAAACAATGTCGCTATGAACTTAAGTAAACCCTCCACATCAGAAGATCCATTTCGTGGATCTCCATTCCTAATCAGATTTATCGGTTATTCATTCACCTATAGGTTGATCACATACCTTGATCTCTGTGCCTGGCTTTGTACAAGTTGACAAGTTGAAATGCAAGCAACACGTGATCAGCTGATGGTAAACCAACCTTCATGATGTACACACGCTGACTCGTTACCAAGGCATTCAGTTTGTCTTTCGGATCCTTGTAACGAAGCCTCAAGCAGCTGATAAATCTGTTGGAGAGAGAGACAAGCTGTGAACCGACAAAGGTCAAAGAATCTTAAAAGACTTTGTTGGCGCAAAGGTATGGCTAGGTAAATTGAAAGTTTCATTTGAGAAAACCGCACCATGAGAGTAATCCCTCCTCATTTTGCAACTTGGGTTGCGAGGTTACACAAGCACCCTCAAAACAACAAAAAAAGACAAATAAAAAAACAAACAAAACAAAAATGTTCAACCTGGCAGTGATTGGTCGAAACAAAAGTTGTCAGTTGTGTACTTTTACATGTTTTCTGTTTATTTTTTTATATCCTACGATTAATTCTCGTCTTACTTTTCTTTCTTATCGACTTCACCAAACAAGCTAACCGTCAGCCTCTCTAAGAACTCTTGCCCTTTTAGTTTTCTTTGGGCATCTTTCGGCACCATGTCCCACCCTTCCACTGACGGAATGCAGGACAAGCTGCTCTCCTCACTTTCTGAAGAATCATGGTCCTCGTTATATTCAATCGGTATCAGTCTCCTCGCTGCCGGTACTCTCTGTTGAGTATCTGCAGACGAGGCTGTCGAAGAATTGGAGACCTAGAGCAAATGCGTGAAGAAAAGAATGACGTTTGAAAACTTCTTTGTCGCCCTATTATGTAACGCAAAACTAGTTTTCAGTTACAGGAATTGGGTCCTGATCTCAAGTAATCCACGACGTCACGCCACGTCAAAAACGTCATGTCATTCTGTGAACCAGGCTCTTAACCTGCTACCGCTTTTGACCAAACACCAAAACGAGGCAACATTCGTCAGATCAAGAGCACATCATAAATAATTAACAAGCTACCTGCGATTTTCCTTGACCCGTATCTTTTGAAGGACTGTAGAGGAAGCTCGTTAACGTCCCAACAACACCACCTATAGATTTCATCGATGAGCTGGAGCGGCTCCCAGATGAGGAGCTACTTAAAGTGGGACTGTTCGATTGTGACTGAGAGATGCACGCACCCCATGAATCCGCGAACTGCAGAACAAACGTGAATGATAATGAGACAACGGAAACGAGAGTGACATATTTGATGGCAGGGTGGCGTGATATTTCGTAATTTTGCGCAAGTGTTTACGGGTTATGCGACTGCAAATTTCAATTCCAGAGTTGCTTTGATTCTGTTTCACTTCACTCTGTGATTGGTGGAGAAATCTCAAACAACCCTCTATACCAGTAAAATGCAATTCTAAACCAACACTATCGAAATAAGCTGTGTATTTGTGACTTAAAGGGAGCTTTTGCTGCCGTTTACCACTTTTTTTTTTTTAAGAAAACTTAGACGAAAAAAACTAAAACGAATGCGCCACAACATGGCAAACGTATGGAATCGTGTGAACCTTCGCTTCTGTATACAGTAAAGACATGACAATATTTCACAGGTCGTAATCAGACATTTTGCATAGGTTTCCAAACAATTTACTGGTTTTTGTTTTGCATCTGATTGGTTAGAGAGTGGCGCGTATTTTCTGAACCAATCATGGAGCAGAGTAAAGCCAAACCGAAGCAACCTTGAACACTTTTCGACATTCACAATGAAAACTGCCTTAAATGGATTTACGAAACTATCAAGTACAACACGTTGCACTTGAACACTGTTGTACAGTTATAACACGCACCTTGTAGTAGGATTCAGCCAGTCCACCTCTCACGTGTCTGACGAAGCCAAAGTAGTCACCAGTCTCCCTCAGGTCGGCCAGTCCATCGGAAATGTCGCCTTGCAAGCTGGAGAGGTTACCAAGGAGATGGAGCGAGCCAAGAAGAGAGGTGGATTGACGACCAATCTCCTGTAAAGAAATGGCAGAGCTGGTTACCTTTC